CTTAGCCCCCCCCCCCCCTTCCAACAGACGACGTCGTTGATTTGCCAACACTTGACACACTCCAATTCCTCCACCAGAACATCTCCAAAGACAAACCCACCGTATATACCTACATATCGCCAAGGGCAACTTCTTCATATCTTTATCCACTTAAACATAATTCTTCTACCAGCATGACCCCTTCTAGGAACCCCCCCAATAAGGTTCTTCATCCAAAATTACAAATAAGACCCTCCCCTCGTTTATCCTAATGGACAGCACGGTCAACCGTTCAATCGCACTGCTCGAACGAGTGGATCGGATTTGTGATTTTGTGAAGGGGAGGTCGCATTTTGTGGTTGAGCAAGGTTATCATAGTGGGAACGGAGGTTGTTAAAGGGGGTTGTGTTTGGACGGTTTTTTTGGCGAATTTGGTGGGTTTGCCGCTTCATAATACTAATTTATCCCTCCCCTCCTCAGCTCCCGTCTCAGCTCGTGGCCGTTTTAAGGGAACTAGCGGAACGCGGGCGGAATCGGGCTGTGTTAACTGGTCTCGGGATCAAATACTCTAGAAACATCATGATGGTGAGGGTGGTGGTCAGGGATGAGGAGGAGGGAGATCATTGAGGGAATCTTCTAACAATAGACTAATGGTGATGGTCGGTCGCATGGAGACCCTCTAAAGGGAGGGGGGAGGGGAGGGAATCGCAAGATTTTTGAAAAAGTGCGAACGTGACGGTTGACCATGAAGGACGGTCAACCTTGACAATGCTTCCACCCGAACGTCGCGCGAGATATGCACGATTATTTCGCTGCGCACCCAAAGTTTTCGCGGCGAAGGGCAGAACAGTACAGTCCTCTCTATTAACATGTTTTTACGTGTGAACTGTGTCGTTTCGTTCTGCAACCGTTCACATGCTCTCTCTGTCCCAGTGCTGATCGTACTTTGTGTTTATTTGCCAGTCGATGTCCGACTTGCATTCCTGCGTTCTGGTCCCCTCCTTAATTCTCATAGGACATCACTTTACCTGCTAAATTTATTTAACATTAGTGGGTTTATATATGGCTGTATGAGTGCAATGTTAAACACGCTCATGTCCTTGGGCGTGTGAGAGGGTGGAGGGGGGATCGGGGGAGGGGAGGTGTAGAGCATTCCGCTAGGGTGAATAACGGTCGAGGAATTCCTCGACCATGGCTCTCTACTGTGCGAGAGTAGTGCCGAGAGTGAACGTACGCGCGGAGAGCACAGACGGCTCGCGCATGGCGAGTGTGAATGTCCGCGCGGGAGAGCGTAACTGATCAGGCGAAAATCCTCGACGTGCCGTTGAGGAATCCTCGACCGATATTCACCCTGATTCCTGCACGGTGACCAGGGCGTTTGAAACCGCGAAGTCTATCTACTTTGGATCCTGTCGTTAGGGAAGACATTGAAGTGAATGACCAACTCACAGAACTAAGCCTCAGGGAGGAAAAGGGATTTAGGGGGAGGACGAGAGCAACCTTGCAACCTTTGTTCTCCCTGGCGTTTTTCACTATCCTCTGCTTCACGTCTAGTGCGCGACCAGGCGTTCCCCATTTTTTGGCCTTGGGTCTATTCCAGTTAGGGGGGCATCATGGTGCGGTGACTCCCAAAAAGCTACGGTAACTCTGAGCCAGGGGGAGTGTAGCCAGCCTAGGGGGGTGGGGGTGAGGGCAGTCACTTGACATGCGTGAGAAGCTGGAATGTTCGAGTTTACATTAGCTCGCCGAGAAACTGCATCATGATGCCCCCTAACTGGAATAGACCCTATTTTAACATTTTTATTTATAAAAATCCTTTCATGCAAGCGTTCAGAAGAAGTACCTTCTACTTTCGGAAGACGAGAAGAGCGTCGAGTGCAGACCACACACCACAAGTGACGACGGCCAAAAAAAGTGGCTTTTCTTTTCTTTTTTTGGCCGTCGTCTTTGTGGTGTGTGGTCTGCACTCGACGCTCTTCTCGTCTTCCGAAGTAGAAGGTAATTTTCACCTTCACGGGGAAGCTCGGCTATGTCGCGGCGCTCTGTTCTCTGCGCTCTCTCTACGATAGAGTGACATTTCGTTGTGCAGTTCACATAAAGTGCTCTAATTCAAGTTTAAAACACACGTTCGAACGTCGTCACGTTCCAAATCGATACGTATTTAATCCTCTTCTCCCTGATAATCTACTCGTCTATCCGCAAATCGATACGAGTTAATTCTATTCACCTTCACGGCAGCGCAAAACGCTCAAGGCCGCGTTGATACTCGTCGTTTTTTGATTTCGGGATATTCAGCCGAAAAGATTAGATATATACATATATGTATAAATATATTGATTGAGAAAGTAGGGGGACATGAATCTGCAATCAATCGATCAGTACACATCTCACGTTTCCGAAAGCCGACTTCCCTAATTTCCCGACTCATGCTCTCCTATTCACCTATTCTCCCAATCAATACATATCTTCTTCGAAGCGCTCATGGTCGCGTTAGTACCTTGTTTTTGGACTAGGAAATTTAGCTAAAAATATTTTAAAACAGGTCAGCCACTAAATCAATACGTATCTCATGTTTTACGCCGAATTCCTGAATCTCCTGATTTCCTTATCTTTCACTCTAATATTGCTACAGGGTCTCATCCGGTAGGAGGGGGCATTGCGGTGCACGTCTGCTCTAATGCCAATTTGGCTCAAGGAGTCCTTTAAAGTTACGAGCTGCTATCAGCTTTTTTCCTATGTTATTTCTTCAGGTGTTTTGTGTAATGTATGTATTCTTGTACTAGATGACATTAACGTCTAAGAAGTAATATTCACCTAGTTAGCAGGTCAGGACTAAGCCTAGGAGGGGAGGAAGTCCTTTCCGGGGAAACCAAGATTGTTCACGGACCCGGGGCCAGGGTCAACCCTACGTTGGTACAAGTACCAATGGGGGGTCGGT